GTATCAATCAACTGTATCGGTCAAGACTGACCAATGGGAAATAGAACATCTGTATCGATCAAGTGTATCGGTCAAGACTGACTGATAGTATCCAGCCAAGTTTTCGAAGAACTGTATCGATCAAACGTATCGGTCAAGGAGTGACCGATGGGAACCCAGCGGATGCTCTATCGATCAAGCCTATCGATCACTTTTGACCGATACGAACCAGTCCGAACTTCCTTTTATTTACAATTCTGCAACCCCGTCTAAACTCCTATAAATATTGAAAATCCCTAATTTTTGGGAACAAGATTTTATTCAACAGTTCTTCTCTCTTATGTTTTTGTTTTGATCTTGTAATTTGAATCTTTTCTTGATTATAATAAGAGTTTGCATTTATCTTTGTGTTTAATCTTTCTAATCATGATTAGCTATCTTTTTCTCTCTGGATTGATGCTTTTGATGATGATTAGTGAGTAGTGACTTAGGGATTTGAGATGGGTTAGGTTTAGAGAATTTGAGACTTAGCTATTTGAGACTTAGCTTTTTCTCTTTTCTCTTCCATTTCATTTTTTGATTGTTGTGTTTAATGCCTGATTAGCCTTATCTAAGTTGATTAGGACCTTAGGCTCATTTTATGTCCACCAAGTGTTTGATGAAATGTCTGAACTGCTTTGCAAGAGAATTGTTTATCCTAGCTCAAGAGATTGACTGTCTAAGGAGTGATTTGGCAATATAGGATTGATAAAATTGACTTAATGCTTGCTGTTTGTCATTTCACTAATAAAAATTAGTTCTTGACTTGATGATTAGCAAAGAGATTAGTGCCAAGAGATTAGATTAGTCATATAAATGAATTCTATGCATAAGAAATAACATTGTGTGAGTTTGTAAGCATCATAGGTTGAGTTGATAGTTCCCTAACACCAATTACCCCATCTCAAGTCCTGTATTTCCTCTGTTTTTAGTTGATTTCGAACTTGCCTTAGTATTGCTCTGTTTTTACTTAGTTTTGATCTTTTGCTTGTTGCTTGCTCTTGTTGAGTGTTTGCTTCAAATTTCTTTGATTCTTTAGGTTGTTAGATAACTAAAACCTCTGTTTCTGCTTGAATTAAGAGCTCTATTGCATTCCTACTGCTTCAATCTTCTCCTTTTAGATTGACCTAAAACCCTTACTACAATGACTAGTACAAAGGATGATTGAGAAAGAGACTCAAAACTCTTGTATCAATTTGGCGCTGTTGCCATCAGGAGAATGCTTTGTTCAGTAAGATTTGAAGAGATCTTGAGATCAAGCTTTGTTATTTTCGTTTTTGGTTACTGGTTTCTCTTTTGGTCTATAAATTCTTTTGTAGGTACTCAAACACTTGCTCTTAAGTGTCTACAACAACAAATGACGTTCATTAATAGCTTGTATTTGACTAGCTAAGCAAATCCAAACACACTCATGTCATTACAGCATGTAAGATAACAATCCATCTGAGTTCTTAAGGCACCAAGAATACAGCAAATCATTTCTGTCAAGCTAGATTCAAGAAAGCAGTTGTGATCAAACTAAACAAGTCTAAAGACTGAAATAAGCAAAGCAGAAAATTTAAATAGATAAAGTAAGGATCTAAGATGGGTGTTATTGATTAAGAGGGGATTAGAACCTAACTAGTGATGCTTCAAAACCATTCAAACAATGCTATCTTCTAGGCATAGGTTTAACAACTATAACTAGCTCAATTGCTTGACATTAATCACTTTGGTAAGCACACATTCAAGATAAATCCCTTTACTCAAATATATGATCAGCAAGCATTCAGAATAGAACTTCAATCCTATAAAGCCAAAATGCACCTTAGACATCTAATTCCTTAGGTTAAGCATACAAATCCTCTAAGAGACTCTACGCAGCATTTCATCAAACACTTACCAGGCGGAAGAGAAAGCCAAGATACTAAACAAGCCTGGCCAAGACTAATCTAGTGTTAAGCACATCTAATAAAGAGAAGATAATCATATTAAGCACAAGACATCACTAATCTAGTCCTAAAACCCCTCTAATCTATCCCATTTCAAACCCTAAATAAGACTACTCACTAGCCATAGTCAAAAACACAAATACTAAAGAGAAATAATGGTTAAGCATGATTAGGAAGCAGAATAAACAAGAATAGATTAAAGGCAAGTACATAAATTCACTAAATCAAACTAGTTCTTACAAAGCAAAGCTGAAAAAGGAAGGTTTTAAGTGCAAGAACAGAAGAAAGATAATAAGATCCAAGTTGCATAACCATTTTAGGAATTTAGTATTTATAAAGAAACTAGAAAACCCCTAGTAAACCAAGATTAAACCGAAAATAAGCTGACTCGGACATACCATATCGACTGTGAACATCGATATACATGTCGATATCATCTCTTCTTCTGGGTTGTATCGATGTCCCTTGTTCGATATGCATGTCGATACAGAAGGCTCCTATGTTGTATCGGTTTGGCTCTCCATGGTGTGAAGTCGATACAATCGCCTTTTAGTTAAGGCTCATCGATCAAGCAAGTCGATATGGCACCTCAGTATTTTCCTGTCATGTGTATCGGTCTGGGACTTCGATACACTGCTCGATATGGACTCCCTTCTGTTGCATTGAGGTGTCTCCTAGTCGATATGCTTCCTTCTCCCCATGCCTTTACTGTATGGATGATGAAATGGTCGATACTCCCATCGATATGCTCTGTATCGATCAGATGATGTCGATATCATTATCGATATTGGTCCATCCGCCTTTGTGTCTTGCCTTGCTCCATTCCCAGCTCACACCCATTGCACCACATGACCTCCACACTCCTTCTAGTACCTGAATAAAACTCCAAATGCATGCAAAATGCAATGCAGCTCCTAAAACTACACTAACTCCTAAATATATGCAAATGGGACAAGAAGAAGCAAAATATACATGTTTAAAGACTAAAACTAGTCATGAATGCAAGCTAAAATGGTATAAATAATTGAGATATCAACACCCCCACACTTATCTTTTGCTTGTCCTCAAGCAAACAAACTAAGACAAGGAAGAAGTGAGGTTTGAAGGTGGGCACTCAAATCCAAAAATGCTAAGGTAAAGAAGTGAAGTCAATGTCTAAGTGCTTAAATGTAGGATGCAAAACACAATCAGTCATACTAATAAGAACTTAGCCATGCCTTTCCAGTTTCAAAATGATCTCTAGCTCAGCCTAGTCAAATGCTCAAATGAATCAATCCTTTTAACATTCATTTAAACTTTGTAACTAAGTGAATCATGTTCAAGCAACTCAAGTGGGATCATTTGGCTAAGGGTCAAGGTTATGAGATAAAAATGATCTCATTAAAATGTGGATTCAAGTGTAAGGGTTTCTCTCAAGAAGCATAACTTATGCATACAAGGATAGATTACTATCTACACAATGCCTAAGAATGTTCTAAACCCCAAAACTCTTACCTGAAATCAGACCCAATCCTAACTACCCTTTCTCAACACGCTCATGACCCCGATGAGCAGGGGCAAGACGCCTTCTCATCTAGTGCATCACGAAGTGAGAAGTAAAATCCCTCCAGGAAAATGTCCACCAGTGGCCAAGCTATCAGTTCCCCCCGGGAACGCCTATCCTCCTACCCTGAGCAAGCGTCGCACTCCCCCGGATGCACGCCCCAGTCAGGATAGGACCCCATCATTTTAACTCCCCAGGCCGAACGGCGTACTCCACCAGATGCATAATGTAGACTCGACGAGTCCCTCTATATCTATCTAGTCTGACGGTCTCACGGTTCGTTTCCCCCGGAAGCGTAATTCTTTCAATAATGTACTCCCTCGGATGCGAATAAGGTCAGAGTTGACATCTAATAAGAGCTGCCCTGCGGCTCGCTTCCTCGAAAGTAAAATTCCCTCGACCAATAACGTGCTCCTCCGGGACAAACGAATAAGGCCGGGGTTGAGAGTCCACTTCGGACTACTCCTCCTTTGACCAAGGACGCCCTCCATCGTGGAACGCACCAAGGTCAAAGTCGATATTCCATTTAACTTCCTCGGAAGTCCGGACCATCTAGCCAGTACCGTACTCTCTCGGGATGCGTGGCACGGCTTCGATGATTTCCCAAATTTTTGCTATCATTTAGAACTTAGCTTCGCTCAGACAAGTACCGAATCCCTTGCGATACGTGGCATGGTCGCCGCGTCAATCCATCCTGTAAGCGGCACAAAACCTAGGGAATCGGATAAATCATGCTTGTTTTACAGGAAGCCAAGGAGGATTCGACTTCCCGGCTCATCCTCAGATCGGCCGAGAAGTCGGAGAGAACTGTTGGGACCCATTTTACTAGGTTAAAAGAGAACTTGACACGTAGACCTAGACTGTGCTAGACGCTGACACACGCCACGCTAGCTCGTCCGACCCACTCCCGCGTACTGTTCCGGAGCAGTTGGCAGACTTCCCCAAACACGCCAGAATCATCACCCTCACATGCTCCCCTGGCACGCCGCATGGAAGGAACATGACGAAGAGCCCATGAGTATAAGTAAGGAGATGGAGGGATGAGGAAAAAAATCACTCAAAAAAGAGGTGGTATATGCTCATGTCTAAGTCGGTCGATCTGGCCAAACAGCACGATCACGGGTGAACTTCATGTTCTTCCCGGGTGAATGCCGACCATGTTAAATCATTCCTAACCCGGAGCCCCGCTTTCATACTCGCCTCGCTTTTCTTTCGCTGTGTAGAAATCCCTTTGAAATACCCGAAAGCAGATAGAAATCTCGATCCCCAGACGAGACTTTTTACACTAACCCATAGAAAACTCCTCTCCCGAATATTTGTTCCCGGTAGGATGTTCATTGACTTGGACGTCTGAAAATCTTTGGAAGAGAAACCCTCTTTCGGTCTTCCTGGAAGCTTGTCTGACTTTTGTTTGAATGTTTACAGAATGGAATGCAGCGCTCCCCCATTGCCCCAGGACAAAAAAACTTCCGTTCCAGAACGACAACTCGCCACCTTTCCTCGAAATGATAAAATTCGGAAGCACAGCTCCAACCTTCCCAACAAATCACATATTCCATGTGGCATCCCGAAATTTATTACGAAACGGACAAAAAAAAAAAAATACTGTCAATTGTTTACCGCAAAATCATCTCTTGTTTATTTTTCAATTTTCCTTTGATATTTATTTCTTCTCGTCAATTTCCTTTTGAAATTGTGAAACTTTCACGGTCTAAATCGAGTGGATCTCTTGCTTTTCTTCCTTCTCCTATCTTCCAATCTCGTCTTGCGGCCGACTGATCTGTTAAAAAAGACAGCGGCATGTCAACCTTTCTGATTTGCTGGCAACACCAGCTTTTGTGAAATGAGTATTTTACTTTTCTAGAGGAAACTTTTTTGTAGCAATTTTGCCTTTTTTACAAATGGAGAAACTGATCTTATCGTTGCTTGTGTTAATTACGTTGACAAGCACCACAACTGTATCATCATCCTTCTCCGTTAGGGTTCCGATTTGCCCCAAAGGACCAGCGAAAGATTACATGTTAGGGTTACGAGACCGGAATTGTCCTGTATCCGGCGATGAATCAGCCTCGCTTCGTCCTCGTTTTGTTTCCGTCACTGAGGTAATTTCGGTACAATTTGCTCGAAGTCTCTAATTTTTCTTGCTAAATCCGAGCTTTTGATTTATGTATTCGACTAATGATTTGTGAAGGGAGATGATTTCTGGTTACAAATGGCTTCAGATATGATACATAAGAACAAATGTGGCTATGTGGCTTTGCTCTTCTATGCATCATGGTGTCCTTTCTCTAGATCATTAAGACCAAGTTTTGATGTTGTCTCTTTGCTTTATTCATCGGTTCCTCACTTTGCAATCGAAGAATCATCAGTTAAGGCAAGGTGGGTTTTGCTAAAACGCCAAAATTTGGTTGGATTTTGATCTGGAACTTGCTGGTTTTGATTCTCTTTTTGTTTGTTTTGTGTGGTTCCACTTCCAGTACACTCTCCAAGTATGGAGTTCATGGCTTTCCTACTGTCATCCTTCTGAATTCAACAATGCGCGTAACTTATCGTGGATCAAGAACTCTAGATTCTCTTGTTGCGTTCTACAGTGATGTTACTGGTAAGTCATTTTGTTATTGGAGTCAAACTCTTCTTTTCCTATGTGATTATGCTTTACTTGGTGTGCATAGAGTTAATCAAAGAGCTGTTACATTGTCTTGGTTTATTGAGAAATGGATAATCGTTTGGTTTTCTATGTTTTGATGCTATTGTGCATAGTCTCTTTGTTCAATTTTATGATTTACAGCCGGTGAAACTAACCAGTAACCAGGAAACGTTCTTGGTATGTAGGCATTGAGAAAATTTAGTGTGTGCTGATTTATGCTTTACTTGGTGTGCATAGAGTTAGTCAAATAGCTGTTTTGGCCAACATAAAAATGGATAAGCATTTGGCATTTGTTATTGCAGTTATTTTCTGCTAAAATTCATCTCTACAGAGTTTATTTATTCTCTGATTGTGTTTTTTACCTGAGTTAAGCAAGGCCAGAAGTTATGAAAGAATGAAAGATTTGAGTTAAACGTTGGTTTTATGCTTCAGTCTTGTTTTGGTTGCTCTTGTGATCCCTTTGTTCAATTTCAAGATCACAGGAGCACAATAGCCGGTGAAAGAAACCAGTGAACGTTCATGTGATGATTCTATGAAAGATTTGAGTTAAACATTAATTCTATGCTTCAGTCTTGTTATGGTTGCTATTGTTTCTTGTGAAACTAACCAGGAAACGATCTTGTGATGTAGGCATCGAAACGCTGGATGAAACTTCGGTTGAGAAAAGCAGGTTGCTTCCACATTTGGCGAAACAAAACAACACAGATTCAGAAAACTGCCCCGTCTCATGGGCAAGAAGAAGATCGCCTGAGAATCTGCTTGGCCAAGAGACTTATCTGACTCTTGCCACATTGTTTGTCTTGTTGAGATTGCTACATTTAATTTCCCCCACATTGGTTTGGTTAGCGAGATTAACCTGGGGAGGGGTTACTCAGAACATGAGACTACAGAACCTCTTGGAGCATACCGTTGCCTCGTACCTCAAAGAACCTTCCATGAGTAGCAATTTGCAAGAAGGAGCCATGAATGCTAGAGCGTGGGCTTCAAAATCTTTGGCCACTGTCTCAATCGGTGATTCAAGCACAAGTGTTGCGACTTCACAATGAGTCAACCGTAACCGTTTTTGTAATTCCCTTCTTGTATAATAAAACACAAGAGTTTCCTCAGACCAATGAGGGACTTCGATTCATAGCTCAGTCTTGTAGCAAAGTGTGAAATGCTATCAGATTACAACATTGTAGACCACTACTTGATCTGTCTGTCCTTCTAATAGGGTGAACCATGACTTAACGAGATTTGATATAGTGATACGACAGAAACAGCAGTTACATGCCGATCAAGAAACTGCTATCCTTCAAGATTAATCCATAATGTCTTTCGTTCCCTTTTTTTTTGTCTCAACATTGATTTCATTAATCCAACAAATGTATGTTACACCGGCGATTATCATCTTCGATCAGAGGTTGTAACCAAGGTGGAAAACATCAGAGTTTAACTAAATGGCACACAAAAGCCATGTGATAATGTCATGCCCATCGTTTTGAATAGCACACAAGAATGTCCACCTCATTGCTTCCGCCTCTGTTTCAAAAGTAGAACTGATCTTGGCCGTGAAACCGTGCTACAACCCGAGCAACTGGTTCGTTTTCCGGGATCCCGAGTGCCATCACCAATGCATTTTATAGAAGATTATCCATAAATGTCTTTCTGCTCAAAGGACTATCTATAATTTTGAGCCAGAATCATTCCCCATCTGATGCATATCTGCATACTTATACAGCTTTTCGTTAAACACAACCTGAGGATCTTTACCGATCAAAACACCATTCGCATCATAACCATCCTTCAGAAACACGGTCCAGTTCATCTCAGTGCCCGCCAAGTAAAAAGCTGTGGGCTGCTTCTTGAGCATCTGGTAAGTCTGCCTAGTCAAGCTAAACTCGTCCTTGAATTCGACAATGTGATGAATCGAAGCTCTTTTCTCTAAAGTCAAGCTCAAGAACTCGTGCAAGATCCCTACTCTGTACTTCTCTGCTTCCAAAGTCCATACATCGTGCTTCCAACCATCTGAATACGGCGAAACCAACGGTAATGTGTTCAACTGATTCAACTTTCCCGAAATCTTCACTTCCAATTCAAGTTTTTTACCGTGTTTCACTGGAAACTTAAACGCTCTTTTGGCTTTATCTTCGTCCACCATGAATGTTCTTTCGAGCTCACTCACCGCAAGATTCTGATCCCAGTTCACCAATTCGAGCACCCGGTTCCCGTCTTGACCCGTCACGACCCGGAAATAATCCGGGTATTTCCCGACCCGGTCTCGAAAATCCTCAGGGACCCCAAAAATCAATCGAGTGTGATGGATTTTGCTAAGTAAGATCCGTTTATCTTTCGTCATCATCAACAGCTTTCTCACACGATTAACTCTATCTAGCTCCATCGAATCCATTAAAGCTCTCTCTTCATCTAACAAATCCTCCATGAATTCCGAAAACCCTAACCACATCTTCCCATCGGTATGTCGATAAGTCTGAAAGATCAAAGGGTGTTTAGGGATGTAACGAGTCACCTTACGGCCGCGTAAGAACCCTAGCTCGCGGTAGAGCTTGCCGGCGTCATCTAATCGGAGAATCCGGTCCGGTTGCTTCGTGATGAACTCTTTCGATCGTGTTAGGAACCGGAAATGGGCGTCGCGTGTGACGAGGGATTCGAAATGAGGGATTCGGGTTGAATCGGGTTGAACGGGTTTGGTTCTGGCGGATTCTGGTTTCTTCCGCTTCTTTTTGAATTTATCTGGCGTTTTTGTGATGAGGAAGGAGGAGGAGAAAGGTCGAGTTGTGAAATAAGGGTTTGGATTTGGCGAAGAAGACGAGGCGGTTTTGGGAAGTGATCGTAGTATTGTTTGATTATCAGATTTTAGGGTTCTTGTAAACAGGCGGAGCCAAGCCATGTCTCTAAATTAAACCATGAATAATCCACTAGCAGCTGAGTATGTATAATGAGTGGGAACTAAGGGGGTCAGGGAATAAAAAACAAACCGAATCGAACCGAAAATTCAACAATCCGAATATTAACTGAGATTTAAATTTCGGGATTGGATAAAAAAAATATGGGCTTCTCTCTTTTCACTCTCTCAATCTTTCAGATAAGTTCTCTCCTTTTTTGTATTTCGTTAATCGGAAAATAAAATCCAGCATATCCGGTTCTTTGTAAATTACCTTTTCCGTTTATCGGATAATCTTTTTGCATGTTTCCATTCAGATCCCAGATGAATTTGATGAACTTATTTTCTCTGTTAGCTGCTTGATTTTCCTTTGTGATATAATCCCTCGTTTTATGTTCTTAATTTGAAGCGCAGATATTCATTTAGCTATAAAAATAAGTTGATGAGAAGTTTTTCGGACGGTTTAGGCGCAGAGTTAGTAGATCTGGCGTTTCTTCGTAAATGGTCCAATAAAAATTCTGCCTTTCATCTTCCAACGATTTCCGGCGAAATCCACTAATGGCGTAAGGAGGTATCATCATCATCTAATAGTTTATTCATGCAAAAGGAATGAGCAGAATCAGATCATAGCCGCACCGTGCTAATTTGAAGTTTTCATTCCGGCAACGATGAAGTTTCCGGCAAAAGAAGCGGCGCTGCAACTCCACATCTCCACCTACACGTGTTGTGATTTCGGTTGTTTAGGTTTACACGTTTCATGACGTGTTTTTTTGCCTTAACACGTGTCCAGTTCTTTTACTAGCGTTTCTTAAGTTTTCTTGGGCCAATAATGGGTCAAACAGAGATGTAACTATCCTGCTCATACTCTTTATGGGTTTTATGTCCTTTGAGCTTAATGAAGCAGACGACAAAAAAAAAACTGAGATTTAAATTGAATCCAACTGTATAATAGTAGAAGTACACCCTATAAAACTTGAATTATAAAAAAGAAACACTTTCTCCTCGCTTAAAATTTCTCTCATCTTTCCCTTTCCTCTTTTCTGATGGTGTTTCTTCCTTTGTTTCGGTTCTCCATGAAGATTCCCTCGGATCTGCCAAGATTTCTGTAGGCTTTCTTGCCATCAAGTGTGCTGGAAAATCTTTGTTTCTACTCTGTCAGTTCCACCGGACCCTCTAGATCCACCGAATTAGGATATGTTGTGTATGCATCAAGTACTTTGAAGTACTCTTCCCAATCTGGTGTGGTGTCCCTTATATTCTCCGGTAACTCTTCTGGGGTTTTCTCACGATTTTCTCCGACATTTTTCAGTTACCAGTTATGCTCCGATCCACGGTAGAGGTCTTGGTTCTCATTTGCTCAGATGTTGCCTCTGAAAGATATTGTTTCTGTGACCTTACTTTTCGAGCAGACTCAATTCAGAAACCCTTGTTTGGGTTTCGTTTACCTCAATATGAGGCTCTGTTTACCTCATTATGAAGCTTGGTTACATCTCAACTGTTTATCCTTTGTGGAGCTTTTAAAAGTGATGGTATTTTACAATCTTTTATATTATTTTTTTTTTTGCTGTGTTTGGAAATCTATTATTATGTTTAGTCTTCTTTGGAGTTAAGTCAATCTTTCTTCTTCCTTTTTTGATGGGAAAAGTTATTTCGCAAAATATAAAATATATAAGAGTTTTGGCCATTTGGAGGAAGAATTCAGAACACTTCTCCAATGTCATTTTGCTGAAAGCTACTGGGACCTCACCTTGTTTCAATCCAACCCAGTGAAGACTCTCAATCATCTCTGCAGCGGCTCAAGGATGTATTCTCTGCAAGTTTCACCTTGCTGCAAGTTTCACCTTGCTGCAAGTTTCACCTTGCTGCAAGTTTCTTCGGAATCAGATGTTATAATTATCTCCGTCTTGTTGGGATAAGTTATGAACGAGATAACAGGCATTGTACAGGTTATGCGAGGCTTTGTTACTCTCTTCTTTTCCACTTATGTTTATCTCTTCCCTAGACTTTGTGTTGCACGGGCTCTAGCTATGCTCTTTAATTGTCATTGCTTTATCTTACCTATTAGCATTATTGGCGTTGAGTTTAGAAAACTTATCCATGTCTCTAGTGTTTTAAGTACTATGTTTGCTTCTATCTTTATGTTTGTTCTCCGATTTGCTCTTGTTGCATCAAATCTTTTAGTCAGTTGGGCTTTGTTATCATGTTTTGTAAACATTTTCTTCATGTTTGGAGAGTAAACAATTTATAAAATGAGTATGTTGACTAAAGAAAATAAAAAAAATTTGAATCCAACAGTACAAAAAAAATAATTTATACTATAACCGAGTCGAATTGAGAACTGAAAATATATAAAAAAAAAACCTAAAAGTATATAAGGTAAAATAAGCATTTGCTTAAAAAATACATCAACTATTTATCTCTCCAAAAATTTACAATATATTATAAAACATTGGTTGAAGACATACTTTCAAAATTTGAGAATTTGTCACTGCAACTTATAAAACGGCATGAACTTGTTAAAAGGAAATGGTAAATATTTATAAGACTAAAAAGAAAGGTAAAAGTGTTAAAACATAAAAAAGTTAAAAGAAAACGTCATTAACTTGTTTCTTTAATTTTCCTTCTTCAATTCTCTCAATTTTTGATTTTTCTCTTTCTCTTTTTCCTTCATCTCCTTTTTCTCTTTCTCTTCTCTATTTCCGGTTATTATTTTCCTCCTCCTCCTCCCCTAAATCTCCTTTTTCTCCTTCTCTAATTCTTCGTCTTCTTAGCTGGTTCTCATTCTCCTTCTTCTCACTATTCTCCATTTCTTTTTCTTCTTTTCTCCATCTCCTCTTTCTCTAATTTGATTTTCCGATCTAATTCGAGTTTAATTCGATTCCTTAGAGTCCAAATTGGATTGTTCGGGTCTAAATTACCGAATTCAGGTCCAAATCAGAAAATTTTGGTTCTTTCTTGGTTTCTTACAATTTTCCGAGAACCCAAACTGAACTGACTCAATTTTTATTGGGTCTTAAATAGATCCTAACCACACGTACCTAAATTTCAAAAGATTCGACCCAACCCAGTTCAATAACCCAGATGCCCATGACTAATTTATATAGTGAGATTCAATTATATAGAATAATATGAATATAAATTAAAATATAACTTTAGTTATCCTGTTTCTAGATTTTGATGCTAATGAATGCAAAAAGACAGAAATAAAACAATAGCAAATAGCAAACAAATACTAAATTATAAAAGTTGTAAAACTTATAATTTAAAATATTGGGATGATAGAAAAATTTTAAAAATCATGATTTAGATTATTTAAACTTAGTAAAATAAAGAGACTTTTTTTTATTTTAAAAGTCGAAACACTTCTTAATTTGATAATTTCCATTTGATGATGGCTTAAAAAACAATTACATCTAACAATTTATGTGATAATTTCTATTTGATGATGGCTTAAAAACAACTTACATCTAACAATTATGTTAGATCTGTCTAATGCAACATAAACACAGAGATGCAGAATGATGATAGGGCTCAGATTTTATCTAATTAATTTACTACTGCAAGTGCACTTCAAATCAGTTGTAGCATATAAGGTTATCGAATCCCAATGGAGTAAACTTACTACACTAGCGATTATAGATTCGGATTAAGCTAAGTAGTAATGAGTGAATGTAATGCGAAGTAACTAAAGTAATGAAAGCAAACGATTTGTTGATTGATCTAAGTTCAGAAAGCTAAATGAGCAAAGTCAGGACAATTCACAGTTTGAATCCGAGAATGTAGAATGCATACAAGCAGGAATGAATTAAAACCGTCTTAAACTCAAAACTCAATTATATAACTAATCAAATCTCATTGCAGAAGTTATCTATGCCTAATTCGCAGAATTCTAAATCTCCTTGCAAATTCTAACAAGTTAAGCAAGCATTAAAGATCGGGTTTCGATTGTTCACAAAAATCCTAAGTCAAATCTCTTTGCAAGTAGGCGTTTTGCTAACCTAATACTAGTTCAGGTGATTAACAATGTTCTCACATCTATTAAACAACCTAGGGTTTCGAAATCTAGATTATTAGTCTTAGAAATCGATATGAATGCAAACACAGATGAAAAACCAATGGATTTTCCTAACAATTTAGCAATTCTACAAACTCTTCATCAACCTTTGAATGATCCTAACTTAACTAACAAATTACTCATACATGATTATGAAAACACAAAGCATAGCTGAATAAAACTGCATTAAAAGAATATAGTATAAGATAAAGGAGTTCGAAATCTTCTCTAAAAGAGTACAGGATCTGTCTCCCCAAAAGCTCTGAACAAAACTCTCTCTAAAGCTCTCTGAATTCTAAGATACAAGATATAAGCCAACAATGGCTGAAAAACCTAATATAAAAGCTAAAACACGAGCTGGGGTCTTCTTGCAAATAGTGGAACTTCTAGGCCAAATATGTAATTTCCTCTCCATCTTTTAATAAAAGTCGCGACTCCTTCTCAGATGCGGGTGACGAGCGTCACCCTTGAGTGGTGACGATCGTCACCAATGCCTATATAACGCTTCCGAGTTGCTAACTTCGGGGTTGATTCTTGCAATGCTCCAAAAAGCTCTAAAACCTCCAATTGTGCTCCAGTCATGCTATAACCTGCAAAGACTCTACTAGGACTCTAAAAAGACCAAAAATACTCAATAAAGAGGACTTATACCATGGTTAAAACCCATAAAAATCTTGATATATCAACTTCCCTAGGCTTAGCTTTTGCTTGCCCTCAAGCAAACATCAGACAAAGAAGAGGGTCGAAGTTTGAAAACAGAAACAGTCAGCTAAACATTAGGAACACCACATTGATCAACACTTTCGAATCTACATAACACAGAGCCAACACAAGATCAAATTTCAGTCTAATCATCACAAGCTTAGCAATCTCTCAAATCCAGTTCAAACCCCTTCAAGAAATCCGAAATCTCTACTGCTAACTCCTTATATTTATCTAAGTGTGATATTTCATCAAGGTTTTATCAACTCAATCACTTATAGA